TGTGGTGTTAAATAAGCATTTTCAAGGGGTTTGTTTTTTTTTTTGTTTAATTCTTTATTGAGGTTTAGCTTCTGACATAAAATGTCACAATGTATTTTTTTATTACAGGTACTTATATAGCGCCATCAATTTACGCAGCGCTTTACATATATATATTGTACATTCACATCAGTCCCTAACCCTCAAGGGGCGTACAATCTAAAGTCCCTCCCTTACATTCATACATACACATACTAGGGCCAATTAACCTACTAGCATGTCTTTGGAGTGTGGGAGGAAACCTGAGTATCTGGAGGAAACCCATGCAGGCAAAACCGGCGTGGGGTCCCCCCTCCAAACCATATCAAGCCTTTCGGGTCTGGTATGGATTTTGAGAGGAACTCCCATGCCAAAATTAAAAAAAAAAAAAAAAATGACATAGAGGTCCATCCCAAAATCCATACCAGACCCTTATCCGAGCATGCAGCCCGGACGGGGGGGGGGGGGGGGTACCCCCCCTCCCCTTAACCATACCAGGCCACATGCCCCATGGGGTGGTGCTTTGGGGGCAGGGGGGGCTCACCCCCCCCCCAAAAGCACCTTGTCCACAAGGGCCTCTTCCTCACAACTGCGGGGGACATTCTTTTAGTTTTTTCTTTTAATAAAGGACTTGTCAAAGACCGTAGCCTGTCTTTTCTCACACTACTTTTTTTGTTTTTTGTGAATGAGTAGGGGTACCATGTACCCCAAACTCATTCACATAGGGGGGGCCGGGATCTGGGGGCCCCCTTGTTAAGGATTCTGATAAGCCCCATGCCCGCAGACCCCCACAACCACCAACCAGGGTTGTGGAGAAGAAGAAGCCCTTGTCCCCAACAACAAGGGGACAAGGTGCTTTGGGGGGGAGGAGGAGCCCCGCCTACTCCAAAGCACCCCCCCCTGTTGAAGGCATATGGCCTGGTATGGTTCAGGAGGGGGGGCACTCGCTTGACCCCCCCTTTCCTGACCTGCCGGGCTGCATGCTCGGATAAGCGTCTGGTCTGGATTTGGGGGGGACCCCCACGCCATTTTTTTTTTAAAATTTGGTGTGGGAGTTCCCCTTCAAAATCCATACCAAACCCGAAGGGCTTGGTATGGATGGAAGGGGGGACCCCACACACCGTTTTTTTTATTTATTATGGTGCAGGTTTTTAAATGTTATTACCTCTTTTTTTGGTCTTCAATTCAGCTGTCACTTTCCCTCCAGCTAAACAAAAGAATGTTTTCTTTTAGTTTATTTCCCCCAGTTAAGATAAACAATGTTTCCTTTTAGTTTCTTAAAAGAAACAAAGTTTCTGTTAACTCCAAGGAAAGTGACAGCTCTATAAGCTATGATGAAGAAAAAAAAAGTCGGCAATTGCATTTAAAAATCAGCACTGACATACACTTCGTATTGCGAAAAAAAAATCTTAAAAAAAAAATTGTAAACAGAGGCATTATTTTCAATGGATTTTCATTCGTAAACCAAAAATTACGTTAACCGAGGCGTTTGTAAACCGAGGTATTACTGTATTGTTTACAATTTTTTAAAATAATTTTTGTACAATTAAAAAAAAAATGTTTTTTAATTTTTTAGAATGTATCTTTTACATTTTTAAAAAGTTACTTTTCACAATTTTGTTTTTACAACGCTGTTGAGGGGCTCTCTAAGTGAGTGGGAGGGAGGGAACCGGCTTTCCACTGCTGGAAGGAGAAACACACAGGGCATCATTACTGTAATTAACCTCTTCCCCGCCGAACCGAACCCCTCCCTGTCCTGCCTACATCAGATTCCCTCCTGTGTGCATGTCCCCCCCCCAACCCCCCACAGTTCTGCCAGCAACTGTGGGCACACAGGAGGCATTCGTTTTTAGTATCGGAGATTTTGCACAAGTTCGAGCACTTGTGCAAATACTTACTATCAGCACCGATTCCATTATCGGTGCAATGCTAGTTTGGAGTGGAGGACTCTTTAATCACCTTTGAAGCCTGTACACATGAATAGCAATATTAGTTTGGCCCCCTAAGTGAAAAAGGCAAGCTGAAGTCCGATAGTGAAAGAGTTCATTACAATACAATCTGTAAATATCTTACCAAAGATTAAACACTGGGCAAACCTGAGGAAAAAGCTAGGAATGGCAGATAAACATTTTAAGGAATTCCTCGCTACCACTTGAACAATGAAAATAATTCAGAATTTTTGAACGGTTTATAAGTCCTGGCTGGCCATAGGTTGAAATGGAATTAAAAAACACAAATAATAATAAACTACAAAAAGGCTTGTACACAAATATGTATGCTACATGAAAACCAGATTTTTCTTCTTTAACACCTTTTTTTAATTTTTGGAATCCTAAGTCAGATAATTTATCAACAACTGTTTTGCTATATGCTATTCAAGAAGTTGAAATGAATGACTGTACGCTTCATAAATATGTTTCCTTCTCTACATATAAATTATGGAAATAGTTCCCTCCAGCCTTCCCATGAGTGGCTCAGGAAAACACATAAATCTGCTAGTAACTGGTCTGTGAATGCTCACAGACTAGTGGCGTATTCAAATAGAAATGACTTTTATAGATACAAAACGCAAAGCCTTGCAGAGAGAGAAGAGCTAATAGAGGACATACATGACCACTACTCTAGAGACAGGTCACACAATTCAAATTAATTTGTTTTCAATTTATATTTCTATAATGCTTTTCTCTCTAGATCTCTAGAAATTCAAAGAGCTTTATCTACTGTTAGGACAGATGGTGAAGCAGCCATCTTGGGAGTGTTTAGTAGAATACTATACCAGGAACAATTTTAGAAAGGGGCCAATTACCTACCAGCATGTCTTCTGAGTGTGGAAAGAAACCAGAGAACATGGAGGAAACACACACAAAGCACAGGAACATCGTGCAAACTCCATGCAAACAGCGTCCTGACTAGGACTGAGGAGCCTAGTGCTGCAAGGCAGAAGTGCTAACCATTAAAGTAGAACTATAGGCAAAACTTTTTTTCATTTTGGATAGAGTAAGGGAGGGTTATTACCCAGTCACTTTATTTTCTTGCCTTCTGTGTCCCACTGGGGAGATTTACCTACACTTCTGGTCTCATAGCCAAAACATGAAATGGGAAAATCTCTGTAAATTTAGGGAACTCCTTGGGGACCCCCAGGTTACCAGAACTAGTGTCCCCATTGGAAAATTTCTCCTCTATTACTTTTTTGGGGACAACCCAAAATTTGGGGTTTCTTTTATTTTCACTATCAATGATAGGACACATAGAGAGGGTGAATATCCTTAATGAGGGCACAGACAGGAATAAAAACACAACAGGTGTTTTAATCCATCTCCACTCTATCCAAAACTAGAAAATAAAAAAAAGTTTTGGCTTTAAGTATACTTTAAGCCACTACGCTGCCCAACAATTGAAAATTGATCACGGGTGTGAAATTCATCATATTTCTCATTATGGCTTCCATCAGTTTAAGAAATATTTAGTACGACCTGCATGTAAGTATGTGGGCACCCCTCCAAATTATTGAGGTTGGGTGTTTACTGTGTTAATGTAACAGCATAGAATTACCATAAGACGCACTTTTTCCCCCCCAAAAAAGGGGGGAAAATGTCAGTGCGTCTTATGGAGCGAATATGGAGTGGCTGGTCCGGTATTTCCTCTGCTGCCGTGTCAGAACACCGGGCCGGCCGATCAGCTCTGCAGTGGGACCTTACCTGTTCCTCTATCCAGCGGCGCGCTGTCTTCCCGGCTTCTGTAGTGTGCGTGACAGCCGGGTCCCAAGTGCGCATGCGCAAGAAGCGGTGCTCTTTGTGAATGGTAAGGCGGTACCTGGGACACATGACAGATCCCAGAAGCCGCCGGACCAATCACAAAGCGCAGCGCTTCTCGCTCATGCGCACTGGGCATCCGGCTGTCCGCCGAGTGCCCACACTACAGAAGCCGGGTAGACAGCGCGCGGCTGGATAGAGGAACAGGTAAGATCAAAGAACAACTCCGCGGAAGAGCGGATACCTGTCAAATTCTGGTACCCGCTCCCCCTCCCTCCCCAAAGGTCAGCAGTCATCCCCTGTACTGTCCGCAGTCTCTGGTCATCCCTGTACTGTCCGCAGTCTCTGGTCATCTCCTGTACTGTCCGCAGTCTCTGGTCATCCCTGTACTGTCCGCAGTCTCTGGTCATCCCCTGGACTGTGTCCGCAGTCTCTGGTCATCCCTGTACTGTCCGCAGTCTCTGGTCATCTCCTGTACTGTCCGCAGTCTCTGGTCACTCCTGTACTGTTCGCAGTCTCTGGTCATCTCCTGTACTGTTCGCAGTCTCTGGTCATCTCCTGTACTGACTCTGGTCATCCCTGTACTGTTCGCAGTCTCTGGTCATCTCCTGTACTGTTCGCAGTCTCTGCAGTCTCTGGTCATCTCCTGTACTGTCCGCAGTCTCTGGTCATCTCCTGTAGTATGTCCACAGTCCACAGTCTGTTCATCTCCTCTACTATGTCCGCAGTCTCTGGTCATCTCCTGTACTATGTCTGCAGTCCATTAGTTCAGAATTTTTTTTTTCTGTTTTCTGCCTCTAAAACCTAGGTGAGTCTTATGGTCAGGTGCGTCTTATGGAGCAAAAAATACGGTACATTACAATTTTGTGCTTTCAAACATTTAGTAACTTTTTTTGGGAAGGCCGTTTTCTGATCCAGCATGAGGTCAGGGCTGTGTGCAGGTCACTCAAGTTACTCCATGCCAAACTAGTCAACACTTGTCCTTTTGGAACTGGCTTTGTGCCCAGGGGCACAGTCATGTCGGAACAAAAAAGGGCCTTCCTCAAACCTTTACCACAATGCTAAAATTGCCTAAAATGTCTTTGTATGTTATATTATTACAGTACCTTTCACTGGAAACACTTGAACGCAATAATTTGGAGGGATGTCTACATACTTTTGGCAACATAGTATATTTCTCCCAAGAAAAAAAAAATTCATATCTATTTACTAAATGTACATAAAACTTGCCTTGACTATGGTGACATCTATTCCAGCCAAATGAAGGATCGGAGCTGCATTCTTCTCAAAAAGTGTCCTGGCCTTTCTAATGAAGAAACGTATGTTAGTGCCACAAAATACAGGTTCACGGTCAGAGGTCAGACTGTCATTATTAAAGCAGAACTTTACTCTCTCAATCATCGTGGATTATTTTTAATCCTTATGTTGCTAGAATTAGTAAACAGATAGGATAGTATATCATATTTACTTGTTTTAAACTTTTTTACATTTTCATTTACTTCCTGGTTTCCATGCCTAGGCAAATTATGGCATATATCCCAGGAGTCTTCAGGAGGGGAAGAGGGGTTTCTCAGCTATGCACACACTCCTGTTTGTGTGCTTGAAGAGCAGATGGATTCTAAGAGATAAATTCTACACAAATCATCTGCCCATCAAGAAAGACACTGCTAAAAAAGTTAGGGAGACATGGATGGATGGGTGAGTTTGCTTTGAATATTAAAAATGAATTAAATAGTGCTTTTGGTTTGTGGTGCTCAGGTGCAGTGTAGTTTCACTTTAAAGTGTATCTAAAATTATACATTTTTTTGTTTTAAATAGACTGGAGATGTGTTAAATCCCCTGTCAGTTTTTTATTGTTGTCTGTATCTCTACAGGAGCTAATTTCTCTAAATTGTTCTGGTGAACTGGGGGAGAAAGTGACAGGAAATCCAACATTTTACAATTGTCACCAGAACAAGAGGTTGAGAGGAAATATTTCAATGTGGACACCTGTTCCAGGAACAAATATCTAAAAGAAGGATTTCCCCTCACTTTGGAGAGATTTAATCTTTCAGTTATGTCACTAGGTCAGGAAGTGAAGGGAAACTCCTACTCCACAGGTGTCAAACTGGTGGCCCTCCAGCTGTTGCCAAACTACAAGTTCCATGAGGCATTGCAAGATTGACAGTTACAAGCATGGCTTCCAAAGGTAGAGGCATGATGGGACTTGTAGTTTCGCAACAGCTGGAGGACCGCCAGTTTGACACCCCTGCGGCCTACTCGGTCAACAAAGTTTTGCCTTTAGTTGAAATTCCAGTCTAAGCAAACATGTTTTTATAGTTTTTAAAGACAGTGCAGTTCACATATCTACCTTTAACTGAATTCAAATTGGTGAAGACTGACCAGGTGGAATGGGCCCATAACAGAACAGAAGTTTTTGATAAGAGTGTAAGCTCTTGCAGTCAAGTTCTTTATTCACTGTGCAATGGTGGATTCTGATGCAGAGCAAACCTTGTGAGGTCCCGAGGAGAGAACAAACAGGGAATCTGTTTGTCTGATGGAAGCAGGAGCTTTCAGGTATAATCTAAAAGCTCTGACTACATCCTGGCAACATAGAAACAATTCCTTTGGATGCTTCAAAGCAGGGCACAAATCTAGCAGTACAATGTCCTTATTGAGGTGGAACACTAAAATCTTCTTAGTAAGAAAGGATGGTCTTGGGCATAAGACAAGCTTGTCATTTTGAAGTATAAGAAACGGTTCTTTTTAGTTCAGAAGCACATCTGACAGAAGTGATAGCTACTATGAAAGCTACTTTTTTGACAAAAAACTCCAGGGAAATATTTTTGAAGGGTTCAAAGAGTGGTTTCTGCAAAGCAGAGAGAGGCAAATAAGGGTCCCGGGGAAGACATAGCTGATCACAGATCAAGGTAAAGGGCCAATCACAGTGGCCCTATACCATGTAATCAGCTGTGTCCAATCACAAGTGATCACATGTAAAAAAATCCCGTTTATTGGCTTTTCCGTTCCTCAGCACTGTCACTGTGTGAGGAAAGCAAAGCCAATAATCTACAATCCTGTGACAGCACACATTAACAATGATAATCAGGGCACTGATCATTAGTGCTCCAATTATCAGTGCTGCCTCATCATGCCCATTAGTGCATCCTCTTCAGTGCTCATCAACGCAGCCTCATCACCGCCCATCAGTGCAGCCTCATCACTGCCCATCAGTGAATAATAAAAATTATTATTATTTGCAAAATGTTATAACAGAAACGAACAAAAATTACATTGTTTTCTGATTGTTTAGCAAAAATTACAAAATTGAGTGGTGGTTAAAAAATACCACCAAAAGAAACTCTGTCTAAAAAAAAAATGATAAAAATGTAATCTGGGTACAGTGTTGCATGACTGTGCAATTGTCATTCAAAGTGCAACAGCACTGAAAGCTAAAAATTGGCCAGGGCAGGAAGAGGGTGAAAGTGCCCAGTATTGAAGTGATTAAGCCATAAGATTCTGTGCATGTGAATGGAGACTGAAGCCATTCAAAATATGTCACATGACATGTTATAGGACATTCACACAAAAAAGAAGAGGAGGAGACAATGGCTGTAATTTGCGACAGCAGAATAGAAATAAGGGTCATGTTGACTGTTCATTGTCCTAGTCAGCTAACTGCAAATTGACATACTGAGATTGTATCGAAAGTTGTTTGCAGGACTCGGACTGCAAGAGAAAAAAAAAAGCCTCAATTTTTTTTCAAAGTTTTTATGTGCAAACTTTTTGAAAGAAAGAGCATTTTTATTAGTTACAATGAGATTGTTTTGACAGACAACATGATCTACTACATGAATCACACACACTTTTGCAGGAGCAACAAGTTTTTCAGGATTTTGCAAATGGGCATATGGGCATAAGACAGGATAATAAGGTTGCATAGCAAGACAGGATAATAAGGTTGCACAATGCTAAGGCTTTTGCAGACAGCGGCAATGAGTTTTTTCAATATTACCAAGCATGCTGCGTGAAGCCCTTTCGTCAACATAACAGCAGTCTGGGGAAGAGAAATCTTCTGCATCTTCCTCCAATCCTTCTTCAATATCTTCTTTATTTCCATCAGTGTATCCTCTAGAACTGGCATATCGGGATTCAACTCAGACTGAGAAATGGAAGTAGAAGAGACACAGCATTTCTAAGCCCTGGACAAAGATGGCTGTATTAAGGTCTTAATATGTCCAAGAAAAAGTGACATAGATGAAGAAAATTCCACTTTTGTCAGGTAGGCAGCATGTTGTGTGCCTGAAGTAAGAGTTAGAATCGGATGCAGACATTGGTGTTAGAACTGGGTCCTACTCTTGTGCAAGGGACACAGAGGTTGAGTGTTATGCCTGCAATTTTGAATTAGCTCACTTTCGCCTGGTCTCTTTTACAGCTACAAGTGAGGGTATTCCTCTGGACGGTATTCACAGAGTAGAGTGTGGCAAATAAGATAAGTGTGTCCGGAAGGTGTAGCCAGTCCAGTAACAAATCCTTGCAGAAAAAGGGCAGGGGGGAAGCGCCACAGTGTCTTATAAGGGCTCTAGGTGGAAGTAGTGTTAAAGTGTGCAGCCAGTGGTGTGATGTACCAGCTGCTCACCCACCTGAAATTGAGCTCTGAGTGGTTTAAATTGTACCACCAAGTTTAAACAATTTTGCATTGTGAAGTGAGAACATTCCAAACATAGCCCCATTTTACAGCAATGGTCAGAGATACAGGGTGACCCTGTCTGATCTGTCCATGACAGTGGATTGCATATAAAGTCCTGGCATCGCTTGTCACAGTAGGCATACACCTGAAGGGGTCTTCAGGGACTGGGTACCATAGCGATGGACCATGGCCCTGGACTTACATAGCCCACTGTGGCTGACTCAACACATTGCACCAAGTGCCAAAGTGAGCAACCATGCAGGATCCAGTGTCTGAAGCAAACATTACAGACTGTTCACACAGTGTGGGGTACAGGTACTGCTCCCAAGTTTTCAGAGTTGCACAAATTCGGATACACTGCTTCTTGTGAAGGCATTTAAAGACAGTGAGGTGCTGATACAAGAATTTGAAGAAAATTAGAAAAAATAATGAAGTGAAGCTGATTTATACACAAAGGACAATAGGTTCACCACCTTCTGAGTCTAATATAAAACTGGGGATTCACAGAGTGGGATAAAGTCATAGGGAAGGTGCCCCAGGAGGGTGTGTTCTCAAAAGCTTGCCAGTGTCCAATTACCTAAAGTTATGCACCTAGCACCCATGATCTATGAATATGCTGCCAGAGTCATGATTTAGATATACTGTACAGTACTATGCAAAAGTCCTAGGCAGGTGTGAAAAAATGCTGTAAATGAAGAATGCTTTCAGAAATAGAAAGTGTTAATAGTTTATTTTCAACAATTTACAAAATGGAAAGAAAATGAACAGAAGAGAAATCCAAATCAAATCAATATTTGGTGTGACCATGGGGCCATTGGAAATGAGGTGCAGCTGCTCTGGACTGATGAGTCAAAATTTGAAATACAAGAGAAGGATCTGATCTGAAGATCTGTGGTTAGTTCTCCAATATGTCTGGAACAACCTACCTGCCGAGTTTGTTCATAAACCGTGTACAAGTGTACCTAGAAGAATTGAAGAACTGATGCTGTTTTGAAGGCCAAGAGTGGTCAAATCAAATATTGATTTGTTTTGAATTTCTCTGTTCATTTATTTCTATGTTGTTAAAGTGGTTGTAAAGGCTCAAGCTTTTCTACCTTCATGCATTATATGCATGAAGGTAAAAAACCTTCTGTGTGCAGCATCCCCTCAGCCCCCCCAATATTTACATCAGCCCCATCGCAATCCAGCGATGTGCATGAGAGGCTCAGCTCTCTGGGGACTCTCCCTCCTCATTGGGCTGAAACAACAGTAGGAGCTGCTGTCAATCACAGCTAGTGAGCCAATAAGAGGAGAGGGAGAGCGGGTTGAGCAGCAGCTGTGTGAGTGGACATGCAGAGCAGCGGCTTGGGAGCGAACCAGCTTGGGTGCCCCCAGAGCAAGCATCCCAGCAGGAGGAACAAGGACGGGGAGGATTGAGGTTGCTCTGTGCAAAACCACTGCACAGAGCAGGTAAGTATAGCAAGTTTGTAATTCTTTCTTTTTTTTTTTTTTAAGAATTGCCTTTAATATCACTTGAATTGATAAAAACAAACTAATTACCACACATTTTTTCACACTTGCCTAAGGCTTTTGCACAGTACTGTATGCTTCAGCCCTGCATTTTTTTCTTTTGCTGAAGCTTTATTTGTCCATAATAGCGTTTAAGTCACATTGTTCCAAAATGAGTGTTTGAAATGACCAAAATGTACATATTTATGCTTTTTCTTGATATGGGGAAACGCTGAGTCGTTCCCTTGCTGTGATTATAGATCAATCCCCAATCAATGTAGGATATTCTTCAAATCTGCCTGCCAGCAATGAGCGATCAGCAGGGCACAAATCAATAGAACTAATGCTTTAAAGGTGATTGTGTCTTCTAATTATACAGATCGATAATCTTACACAGGCCAGTGCTTGACCTGCTTTGTGGGGGCTGCCCGCTCATAAACCAGCAAGGAAGTGTTTATTCCAGTCTAGTTGCTGTACTCCCTGTGGGGTAATGCTCTGCATTTACTGACACTGTGTGTTCAATACCGGATATGGGGATAGGAAGACATTCAGATCATTCTCCAACCACATGCCCTGGCAATTAAAAGGCAGGAGGCTAGCAACTGCTACCACCATATTGCCTTTAAGAGATGTACTCATATACTTTCATACTTTCGTTTTAAGGGTACTTGACATACCATGGCAAGAAAAAGTAACTGAACCCCTTGGAATTAACTCGTTTTCTGCAGTAATTTGCCATAAAATGTGATCTGATCCTCATCAGTGACAACAATAGACAAACACAATATGCCCTAAAGCAGTGTTAAACAAAAAAAAACAAAAATGTAATATATGGCAGATTACCAATCATTAGATGTAGTGATTGCATTAGTTTACTTTTATTAAGCTTTTCCCCCGTTTTAACCTAGTGATCTGACAAGTAACACACCTGTATTAGAGTGCCTACACTCTAGATGAAAGAGCACAGGGGGGTAACTTTGGACAGCAGCACTGTCAGTCTGGGGTGAGGGGAGTGGTAGATGTACTAGCAGATTTAAACACACTAACAAACTGAAGCCAAATTCCAGCTATCACTTTATTAGCAGTTACAGCAACAGCTTTTTCCCCCTTTTTGTATAAAGGTTTTATATACAATAAATAAATAAAAACTGACCATTGTAGCCCCCCCTCCCACCCCCTCCTCTATTAAATGGTTTGTCTCAGCCCTGCAACTGAAACATTTGCTGGAGAGCTGGTTCGTCTGAATAAAACATACTTACTGGACAGATCACCAGGAGAAAACAGTAGAAAGAAAGCTTACAAAAGAAAACAAATGCAGCCTTCACTCACATCTAAGAATTTATGAGGTCATGCCACAGAATGTCTATGAGCTGGGTTCTGACTGGGCCACTCCAAAAGGTGCATTTTCCTAGGGTCATTGTTCTGCTGCATCACCTAACTTCTACTAGGCTTCAGCTGGTGGACAGCCACCCTGACATTATCCTGTAGGAGATTTTGATAAACTTGAGAATTTAATTTTCCATCAATGGCAAGAGTTCTAAACCCTAAGGCAGCAAAACAAACCCCATTCATGATGTTCTATACCATGGACTGTTGGGATGGTGTTTTGATGCTGGTAAGCTGTGCACTTTTTACTCCATACATCTCTTGGGGACCACTCCCCATTAACAAAAGAAAGGTGATATAAGAGTTTTTATTCACTCATAATGTTATGCATACGGATTACTATACACGTAAGCACTGCGATTATTTTTTTTTATAACTTGGGAATATCATGAGTGATGTACTTTTTGTATACATAACCATAGGTATGTATATTATCCATTTGAAGATCCAGCCTTTTCTGACACTTAGAATTTTAATTACTTAGAACCTGTACACATATATTTTTAGCAGAAGCCCTGGTGGGTTTTGCAGATTTTTTTATGTCACATGGTATTTGCGCAGCAGTTTTTCAAATGCAATTTTTCAAAAACATTTTTCAGGAATTTTAATGAACACAAACACAATACCCAATTTGTGGTAAAATTTATAATATGATGTTACACCAAGTAAATAGATACCAAACATGTCACACTTTAAAACTGCGCACACTAGTGGAATGGAACCAAACTACGGTATTTAAAAATATCCATAGGTGACGCTTTATAAGCCTTTACAGGTTGCCAGTTTAGAGTTACAGAGAAGGTCTGGTGATATAATTATTGCTCTTACTCAAATGTTCACGGCAATAGTTAATATGTGTGGTGCACAGGGGTGGACTGACCATTTGGAAACTCGGGCACTGCCCGAGGGCCCGTGGTCAGTATGGGGCCCCATGAGATGCCCCTGGTACCTTTTTCATAGGCTTTTTTAAGTTTGGGCAAGGACATAGGGGCCCCATGATCCCCTATTGCCCGGGGGCCCATGAGTTGTCAGTCCGCCCCTGGTGTTGCAATCGCTGTTTATGTATATGTGTGGGACCAATACGTGCGTTTGCCTTTGCACACAAACACGGGGGGGTGGGAGCACTTTAAAACTTTTTTTTTTACTTCACTTGTGACAGCAATAGGCAGTGACAGGTACTCTTTATGGAGATATCTGGGGTCTATTAGACCCCAGACCTCACCTCTGCCCTAAAAGCATCTGATCAAACCAAGATCAGTGTGATCAAATGCTTCTGAGATTTAAAAATGGCACTGTGCACTTTCCAGGAAACAAGAAGTTATGACAGTATTAGTTTCTTCCTGTTTCCTATACAACAGAGCTCATCGGAGACCTTCCAGGTCCTCCATCGGCTCTATGGTAAGCCGGCGGAACAGCCAGCTTCAGTTCTGGGATCTCCGGTGGGACGGAGATCACAGAGAAGCACCGGCAGATGGCAGCTGGAGGCGGCTAATTACCTGCTCGGATGGCTTTTACAAAAAAGCCAGCCACTGGCTGAAGAGAATGATACAGGGATGATGCCTTGAAACCCGTAACAAATATGTACGTTAGCGGGTCTTCAAGTGGTTATAGAGACTTTCCCACTCACAATCCTCCTGAAGAAGTAGATAAGTTGTCCATTAAACATGAGAAGGTGCTTCATGCCCATAATAGCTTTACATTTTCTAGACTTATGATAGCATATGCATTTATTGGCATAAAATAGTCTGACATAACTTACTATGAGTCATAGGTAGAGGTTTATATGTTGATTACATCTATTTGTTGTGACAGTGTGGTGCCCAGATATGGTACAAAAAGAAGCTGTGTTACTCAGAGTTTACATCCAGACAGGTTGTGGGGCTCCAATGTGCTTGTATCATACAGAGGAAACTAGATTTTCTGTTTTTTCAGAGATTGGCAAAACCTGGAGCCAGGAGGCTTTGTAGGACAACCAGCAAATTAATTGTGTAGGTGTGCATAGGGCTTCTATTAAGAATTGCTAATGCAGGCCATAGACGGGTCCAACATCGGCCGATTTTTCGAGAAAAAAAAAAAAAAAAAAAATCGGTCATTCGTTTGGATGACGTTACCACCAATGGTAAAAAAAAAAAAAAAAAAAATCGGCCGACAAAATAAAAAGTTCACTTCATAACTGTCCCTTGCAGGTCACGGCTCATGCGTGGATTTTTTATCGGTAAAACGATCGGTTGATTTGCCCATCATTACCGGGAAAATCGGTTGCAAATTTTCCAACATATGACCGATAAAAAAACTGTGCAAAAAAACCCAAAAACGGCCGACCAATTAACCTACTAACAGTGTGAAAATTGGCCGATTTTTTTTTTTCGGCTGAAAAATCAGCCGATTTTCGGCCTGTTTATGGCTGGCATTAGTGTTAAGGGCTCCACCTCGGAGAGATCAGAGAGGAGTCAGAGTGGGCAAGAGCAGCAAGGATCTGAGAGGGGAGTGTGCATGTGAGCACAGAGCTGGTGACTTGTCTGCAAGGGAGCAGCTAGAAACAGTGCATGAGTGCACAAGATTTTGAGACTGAGGGGTACAGACAAGGAGCCAGAAGTGTGAGGCCAGAGCAGCGGCACTGCAAGTGTAAGTCATGAGGCTGAATGTGTATTTATTTTATGGAAGAAGTATGCTAAAATAAACCCTGTGTGGCTACTTGAACTTTGTTTTACTAAATGTTGGCAAGAAAAGCTATTAAAAAGAAGATTTAACTGAGTGGCCGCATCCTTTACGCACTACATTTGAGCTAATTTCCCAAAGTATATTTGGGTATATAGTATGAATACCCAAATTTTTTTTTTTCTCTTAATTTTTTTAAGTATTGCTCTGTACTGTAGTACTCCAGTTTGATTTCTGGGTGAAGTTTCCATGTCCAGTTTGGTTTCCTGGCAAAGTTTCTATGTATGTGGTCCACCTTTAAATGGAGGACTGTTTGGTATCCATACATGCATAAGACATATTTCTAATCCTTACAGAACAATGGCTACTAGAGCAAATTTTTCCCTTACCCTTTGCAGGCTGCTGGGTTTAGGAACACTGTCGCTTTTTTCACTGCTGTGTTAGGATGTATCAGCTGGTCTCCAAAAACCTAATTGAGAGGAAATTAATAAGGTTAAAAAAGCACCCCTGCGCTCCAGTTACAATATGTCACTTTTAATAGTTCTCAACGTGGGCTCAGGCTCAGAACACAATTGCTGCACCACTAGTGAGCTGCAGAGAAACATGCAGCCAGCAAAGTCCAAACTACCAGCCTGCACATTTGCTCCAGGTCGTTTATAAAATATAGTTAAAAAAAAAATGGAAACACTACATGATTTGCAAGTGTATTAGTGACTTAATGTTTCACGTTGAAAGCGGAAGTGATGTAACATTCTTTTGCATCCGCTGTGTGATGAGACACCTAGCTAACAGGTGGGAAGCCTCACTTTCATCATTCACTGTGTGTGCTGTTAGTAATATGGAGTCATGTTGGAGCTTACTAAGCATCAAACAGGGCAAATTGTTGGTGCCCGCCTAGCTGGTGTCTCTGTGACTGAAATTGCCAATTTATTTGCCATATTGTGAAGTACAGTATCAAAGGTTATGATGACATATACAGTTTCTTGGAAAACATTGTCTGATAAGCATAAGCATGGTCAACTGACCAAAAGAGGCAAAAAGGACATTGCACAGGATTGTGACCCAGAATAAGAAAACAAATGCTGCAAAAGTGACTGCAGAGCTCAATCTCAGTCCCGTGAAGACACCTTCAAATTATGTAGTTTTTCCATTTTTTGTCTAACCCCTGTATGTCAGTACTTCTAATATACTGTACACTAAACCCCTTATCATTACTAAGAAACCCAGTTAACCTTACCACCAATTTTGCACACAATTTTAGGCACAGTTCAAATGTACCCACCTATAAATGAAACCTGTCTGACAGCTGCTACAATTGTTTGTGATGGTGAAAATTACAAGGCTGCCATCCTGACCCTTGCGCTACTATTTAGAGAGTTTAAAATTTAGAACACGCATGTTTCTACTAAACCGTCTGGACACTAGTGTTAATTTTGACATCAAATTTTGATTTAGTTTTAGTCATAGTCTTTTAACTAAAATTACATTTTAGTATCAGTCAAATTTAGTAATCTGAATTGTTTTAGTTGTATTTTAGTCAACTAAAATCTCAAGTACATTTTAGTCGACTTACCTCTAATGGGCTTTGGTAAATTATAATATAATATTTATACATTTCTCTAGAATTGCCAAACTCATTATATACCCTCGGAGTAAGAATCTAATAACATGTATTATTTATAGAATTAAGGTTTGAGCATGCACTACAGACATAGATTTATCCGTGATATATAATGTCTTTATAAATAAAATTGAGTTTCATAGGCAAACAAAATAAATAAAAATAAATATATATATATATATATATATATATATATATATATATATATATATATATCTGTACACTGTATTGGCTGTAATGCCTTTGTACATATTACCTGAATATATTACCAACATTAAATATTAAGCTTCTTTCAGCAGCTTAGTAAATGCCCCCTACTTATTCTTATGTGGTAGTGCAGTGTTAATTTTGATGTTAAAGTTCTATTTAGTTTTAGTCATGGTGTTTTGACTAAAATGCCATTTTAGTTATAGTTGTATTTTGGTCATCTGAATTGTTTTTGTTTTCGTCGTATTTTAGTTTACTAAATAGTGTTAATTTTGTTGCCAAAAATATTTTCAATACAATTCAACCCTCACATCCCCCATTTTTAGCATAAGTAAAAAGGTGTGTGACAACAAACCATGTCAATGAAATCAAGCTTCTAGGCCAGTGTATATCAACCGGGGTTCTGCAAGAGGTCCCCAGGGGTTCCGCCGCAAATCAACATTGTGGTGGATGTATACCGCCCAATGTTGTTTGCAGTAGTGTTCTTAATGCGTACTGACAGTCAGTACTGTTAGCACGCATTGATACCCGATGCCTCCTCCTTAGTTCCGGCACCTGTGAACTCAGAGGGAGGTGCCGGGAGTACTGCACAGAGCGGGAGCTGAAGGAGGAGGTGTCACTTTGTAAGGCAGCGCTGATAACAAAACGGTGGGAGGGACCACAAAGGGTGAGCCCGTGACTGGAACACTAGGTGAGATCTCTTGATGACTCTGTGTAGCAGAGTGCAGGGAAGGAGGTGCAGAGGGAGGCAGAGGGACGGAGCACCGTGTGTGTTGGGCAGCAGTCAATACAGACTGGAGGTTGTGCAGAGAGAGAAGGAGCACATGGCTGAAACAAGAGGTGACATCCAGTGTTTGGCAGCAGTGATGCAGACTGCAGAGAGGGGGAGCGCACAGTTGGAAGAGACTGAATGTAACAGCAGCTCTATCTTATGCCATATGTTAAGTTAACAACACCCCCAAAAATGGTACACAAAATGCGGTGAGATGTGCAGAATCAGTTCACATGGGTGTGAATACCCATGCGATCCGATTCTAGTGCGGACCAAAAAAATGGTCCTGCACCTTTTTGGTGTGGATGTGGTGCGATTTGAGCCATACAAAATATAGGGCTCAAATCGCACCGCACAGAATTTGCATGTGATTTGCACAGGAATGCGGTGCAGTTCCTGTGCGAATCACATGCGATATGCCGCACTGCACATTTGTGAACCCAGGCTCAGTCTCATCCAGCTATGTGCCCCTGCAGTCTTCATTCAGCACTGTCATGCACTGGATGTCACCCCCTGCTACATTATTCCATGTGTTCCCACTCTCTGCTTCCCCCCTCCACAGTCTGCATTCACTGGTGCCATAACACAAGATGTCATCTCCTGATCAAGCCACGTGTTCCCACTCTCTGCTTCCCCCCCCCACAGTCTGCATTCACTGGTGCCATAACACAAGATGTCACCTCCTGATCAAGCCACGTGTTCCCACTCTCTGCTTCCCCCCTCCACAGTCTGCATTCACTGGTGCCATAACACAAGATGTCATCTCCTGATCAAGCCACGTGTTCCCACTCTCTGCTTCCCCCCTCCACAGTCTGCATTCACTGGTGCTATAACACAAGATGTCATCTCCTGATCAAGCCACATGTTTCCACTCTCTGCACTCCACTCAATGCCACCCTCTGAGTTCACAGGAACCACAACTACAGAGGAGGCATTAGGTATCAATCTGCACTGTCAGTGCGTATTAATAACAACATTGGGTGGATATACATCTGCCACAATTTGGTCTTGTTTGTAGTTGTAGCAGGGAAGCATACTGTTATTTACTGCACTGTTCCCCACAGGTCCTCCTCTTCTGTCTCAGGCTGTTAAATGTTATATCACCTGGGATGGACGAGAGGAGGGCTAGTGGGGATCAAGGAGAAAAGGCATATTACAAACATCTTACCTGCACTGCTCTGCATTTGTTTGTTAATTGTTGTTATATCTACAGCTCACTGATCAGATCCAATGTTCCGTGAGCTGTAGATCTGAAAAATTTTTTTGGGGGTTCCCTGAGATCTCAAACTTTTTGCTAAGGGTTCCTCCAAGGTAATAAGGTTGAGAAACACTGCTCTAGGCAGATTTAAAATACACGACTTATTGCAGATCTTTATAAATACACTATTAAATGTAGATTTTTTTTTAAATGCACGCAGTGTAAGTGCCTTAATGTGCCTTGATAACAGCCTGCTGCAATCCATTTACAGCAAAGCTCACACTGGGGAAGGAGAAGCAGCACAAGGAGGCAATCCATTGTACTGCAGTGCTCATGTACTACCAAGGAGCATGTTGATAAGACACAGCAGAATGACAGAGAAATCAGTTCATCAGTTTTCTGCTGATGCCCCCGCCATGTTTCTCAGGCTCTTCTTGGAGAAGGAAAACCAGCAATCTCACTGGCCCACTAAAAATTGACATGGGTGGTTTCTGTGCTACATTAGCTTCAATGGAGGGCAGCTGAGACATCAGGGGTCTAAAGGCTTCTGGATGTCTCATTAAAGAGAACCTGTCATGCCACACCCACACACTCATGATTGTAAACACTAACAGAGTTTTTTTTTTACTGAACTCTTGCGCTTGATAAACCATTGTGCTAATACTGTAATTGCAACTAATTTTTCTCCAGGGCCTCTGCTTTCAGAAAATATATATTGTTTTTGGAGTTTGCAGTAATATTCAGACCTCAAACAGGTATTTAACTGTGTGCAAAAAATGGCACTGGCAGCAAAAGGGTTAATAATCTTTTTGGCACAGGTAACCGTGTGATGACGCAGGAAGATAAAGACGGATGTTTTAAAGCGATCTGTAACGTAAATGTACTGTAAATATGACAGAAAACGTCTTGAACAGAATTGTCAACAGTTGCAAAACTTACCTGCGCTTCTTGGCAGGCTGCCCTCCTCAGCAAGTTATCACTGCCATGAGAAACCAAAGGAGAGGGAGACAGAGACAGAAAATTAGCACTACACACAGATTTATGGCTTTCATTAACAACCTGAACACAGTTCAATGAGATTCAAAAAACAAAAAACCTGTGGCTACATGGATGCAGATTGCCTGTCTATGGGACCAATAAAGATGCCTGCTGAAGGAATACAGCGACTCAAAGAAACAGCAGCAAAAGTATAATGTTGCTTTTAGCAGCCAATCAAATGTGTGCCTTTATGTGAATATTTCACTACCAGCCATAGATCACTTCTGACAGCACAGCTACCAGCAATATTTCCATCGGGAACAAGGCATATTTCAGAAGGCTGTACAGTCGTAACAGAACAAGACATCTGATAAATATTTATCAAGTGTATTTTCTCACTGAATGGCTTTACAATGTCATATCTGTCAATAAAATAGTGGTATATTAACTTAACATTTAAGCTCAGCCAAAAGTTTCCTTCTTTCTCATTTTTTTGACGTTTTGGATAAAGTGAGAATGTATTAGAACCCTTGTAAGGTTTTTGCTGCCATCCTTCAAAAGAAATTTCACCCCCTTTGTGTTTTTTTTTCTAATCACAACTTGCCATTTTCACTGAGGTTGTCTATAATAAATATTTTCACATGCCCAGCAAATCCAGCATTTTCTGCTGCAACCCACAGCTCTGCTGCCGCATGCTGGGTTCGACACCACTATCTTCCACGCTAATGTCAACAAGGACCAGCAGTCTCTTCCTGATTCTTGTAGTTGGCCCCTGATGATGCGCCACACTGTGCAAACTGATACCTACAGGGATACGTGACATGCATATTCCAGGAAGCTTCAGAAAGGGAGTACTCCCCTAGACAAGAATGGAGGCAGGGGGTGGGTTGGAGTAAATGGCAATGGTTTTACTAGACAGGAAATGAGGGAAAATCTACACCATGGGCACTTTTTGTCACCGTGACACTAAGTAAAGGAAAATCTTATGAGCAGTAACAACCTGACAGAGATTCTGAACTTTCCCCAAACTAAAACTTATAACGAATCACAACACAACAGCCATTTCCATGAATAGCAAATAAAAAATATGTATAAGGCCAGACAAGAGTTAAAAAGTGTATATAGAGTTAATTGGCCAGCAGATTGTGTTGTTCTGCTGACAGTTCCCAGCCCCAGATAACAACAGCCATATTATATATCAGACACAAAAGAACAACCCCCTCCCCTCACCTCCTGTAACAAATGGCACTGCAGAGATTTGGAATAATGAGAGCCAAGATGGGACAATTATGGTTTTGAAAAAAAGCAAGCAATTCTGAATGAATTGACTGGTGGCGTTCATGTTTATGCAGGTACCTCTCGATGAAATTACACAGCTGTCTCCAGCCAGCGGGAAGGAACTGCTACACACTTATTACTGCCTGCAAGCAACTCCGAGCCCCCTCTCCAATCGGTAACGGCAGCTGCAAAGAGTGCTGGGGGTTATTTAATTTGGAATAGCTCTACCCTTGGATGCACATACAAAGCCTGTTCACTGGAGGAAAACACTGCGGAATCTAAATACAAGTACTGGTAACTCAGATAGAGGGAAGCCTGGAAGGAAACTCCGTCTTCAGATTGTGGAAAAAAAATTACATTATGCAGGAAATTAAAGCCCAACTCCAGCTGAGGGTTTGAATTATTCGTCAGCTTCTTATTATGTCTCCCCACTCACATGATGCAGCACATCAGAACTCAGATTGAGGGAGGACTGGACAGTACTAGCAAGTCATAGAACAACTATAGAACGGACGGCTTTTACTAAGGCCTCAGTGTGTTCCTCCTCTGATTTGGGGGGAGGGAACTATAAGGTGCCAGCGGCAACAGGTGAGCATGATGATGTGACTAGGCACATAAGTACAAAGTGCTGGATATGCCGTAACTGTGACTGAAGGGGAATGCTGAAAGGAGGCTTTTCCCCCTCCTAGTTGGGCAAGATTTGTCACCCTCGTGAATGTGGAATAAATTTATGGATTGGTGGAGGAGTATGTTCTGGCTATGAATCCACCCCCCCCCCCTTTTTTGGGTTATATTTAGAGCCTTGCTTGGACACACATTTGTGCTTTCACCCAGAGCTATTTTTTTTGTTGTTGTTTCCAGTTTTTAGCAAGGGGACCCGCTTGGACAATCTTTGGGTATTTCCATTTCCCTTCTGGGTTGCTGCTATATCACTTAAACTTGCAGTGGGCAGGCTATACAAAAGTACAGTGGATGTAATTTATACAGGGCTCGACAAATCCCAGGCGCCAGGTTTCCATGGGGACTAGAAATTGCGTCCTCATGCCTGGGCTTTTTTCAGCTCATTCATTGTTGGAACCAGGCACCACTAAGACAGTCCTAACAGCCTCCTCACTGCTGGCGTTCCCTGTGCACTTACTTGTCTTGTGTAACATTATCCCACCACCCTCGGTTGCTGGTGTGCATCTTCGTACACATCCCTGGAAGCTCTGTAGAAGCATAATCTTTGTAAGGGCTCCCAGTCATTGGTTAGGGTGGTCATGTGGCAGCACTGACAAATGAGAGTCTTTTATTTCTTCTGAGACAAAAGAAGAGACTCTCATTGGTCAACACTGTCACATGACCACGCCAACCAATGGCCATAGCCCTTGCAAAAATTATGTCCCAGTCTCAAGTCTTTTGCAGACTCCAACAGGTTTTCTTGTAAGATTGCTCTGTACTTGGCTCTATACATCTTCCAAACAACGCTGACCAGCTTCCCTGTCCCTCCTGAAAAAAAGCATCCCCAAAACATGATGCTGCCACCACGTTTCACGGTGAGGATGGTGTGTTGAGGGTGATGTGCAGTGTTTGGTTTCCACCACACATACCGTTGTGCTTTTAGGACAAACAGTTCAATTTTAGTCTCATCTGACCAGAGCAACTTCTTCTACATGTCTGCTGTGCCTCCCACATGGCATCTCGCAAACTGCAAACGGCACTTCTTATGGCTTTCGTTCAACAACGGCTTTCTTCTTGCCACTCTTCCATAAAGGCCAGATTTGTGGAGTGCACGACTAATAGTTGTCCTGTGGACAGATTCTTCCACCTGAGCTGTGGATCTCTGCAGCTACTCCAGAGTTACCATGGGCCTCTTGGCTGCTTCTCTGATTAATGCTCTCCTTGCCTAGCCTGTCAGTTTAAGTGGATGGCCACATCTTGATAGGTTTGCAGTTGTGCCATACTCCATTTTCAGATGATGGATTGAACGTGTGAGATGTTCAAAGCTTGGGATATTTTTTTATAACCCAAGACGGTTCTCTCGTTCTGGGAGGACGTCATAGGACGCTGCGGGAGCGTGCAGCGATCGGTGGTGCGCTGTCCCTCGGACACAGCGGATCACCGATCGACAGAAAGAGCCGAAGATGTCGGCTTGGTCATGTGATCAGCAGTGTCCAATCACAGCTGATCGCATGTAAATAGGGAAATGCCAGTTATCGGCATTTCTCTCCTCACGAGCTGCCACGCTGACAGCTCGAGAGGAGAGGAGAGCCGGTAATCGACATTCCTCGGAGGGGCATGTGCACTGATCATCAGGGCACTGATGATCAGTGTGCCCTGATGATCTGTGTAGCCCCAGCGGTGCCACCTGTCAGTGTCCATCAGTGCCAGCTGTCAGTGCTAATCCATACCACCTGCCAGTGCCCATCAGTGCCACATCAATGCCACATATCAGTGCCTATCAGTGCACATCAATGCCACATATCAGAGCTGCCTTTCAGTGTCACCCATCAGTGCCACCTATCAATGCCAGTCAGTGCCACCTATCAGTGCTGCCAATCAGTGCCGCCTATTAGTGCCGCCTATCAGTGCCAGCTATCATTGCCATATATGAGTGCTGCCTTTCAGTGCCCATCAGTGATGCCTGTCAATGCCCATCAGTGCCACCTACCAGTGCCTCCTCATCAGTGCCACCTATCAGTGCCCATCACTGCAGCCTCATTAGCGCACATCAGTGAAGGAGAAAAATCACTTATTTACAAAATTTTATAACAAAAACTAAGAAAAAAGGGTTTTTTTTTCAAAATTTTCAGTGGTTTTTGGTTTAAGAAAAAATTAAAAACCCAGAGGTGATTAAAATACCACCAAAATAAAGCTCTGTCACAAAAAAATGATAAAAATTTCATATGAGTACAGTATTGCATGACCGCGCAATTGTCATTCAAAGTGTGACAGCGCTGAAAGCTGGAAATTGGCCTGGGCAGGAAGGGGGTATAAGTGCCCTGTAGGCTAGTGGTTAATGTAAGTTTTTTTTGTTATTTTCTATAATAAACATTTATTTTGAACATAGTGTAGAGAAATTCTGTGACAAACGCATGTAATGCTGGCAGTGCAAAATGAAGGTGGGGCTTTGTATGGGTGTGGCTTGAGTGTGGGCAGGGACACAGGGGGCCCCACGATTTCCTATTGCTCGGGTGCCCCATGAGTTGTCAGTCTGCCCCTGGCCCAAACTGTGTTGGAGCAGATCTGGCAGGAGGAAGAAGATCACAGCCAACCAACTACCATGTACTAGGAGGAGAGATGATTGAGCCATGGAAACGCAAAGTCCGTAGTGGGGTCGGAATTTGTGAAGGGGGGAAATTTGTGAAGAACAGGTGGACTTGTGAAGATGTGAGGGTGTGGTTGATGGGAGATTTGTGAAAATTGATGAGAGGGAAAATAGCATAATAATAGTTTCCCTCATAACCGGTTATTATTGTCATTCTTTCTGGCCAGCCTATAACCCTGCAGTAAGTGTTACTTCTGGGTTATTGGCTGGCTGCTCTGCTGTAAATTAGGGTTAGGGGATTAGGGGAAGCAAATGACTTGCCTTGCCCCGGACGCTGACAACCCTGCTACGTATAAAAAAAAAAAAAACTGCCTCCTAACTTTTTTATCTGGCTCCTAGATTCAAAGCAAATTTGTCGCTCTGGTTTATAAGATGATTGTATGCCAAATATAAGCATGGACTGTAATGTCTATTACATGAGAATAGGATGTGATTTCTGATTCTTCTGCCTCCTGTTGTAGACAGCGTATAGTGGGGAAACCCCTCGGGTATTTCTATGCATGTCCCTGAGCCCTATGGGCTTGAGCAGCACCTGGCAGAAAGATTAACATTATATGTACAGTGGGGCAAAAAAGTATTTAGTCAGCCACCAATTGTGCATGTTCTCCCACTTACAAAGATGAGAGAGGCCTGTAATTGGCATCATAGGTAGACCTCAACTATGAGAGACAAAATGAGAAAAAAAATCCAGACAATCATATTGGCTGATTTGGAAAGAATTTATTTGCAAATTATGGTGGAAAATAAGTATTTGGTCACCTACAAACAAGCAAGATTTCTGGCTCTCACAGACCTGTACCTTCTTCTTTAAGAGGCTCCTCTGTCCTGCACTCATTACCTGTATCAATGGCACCTGTTTGAACTTGTTATCAGTATAAAAGACACCTGTCCACAACCTCAAACAGTCACACTCCAAACTCCACTATGGTGAAGACGAAAGAGCTGTCGAAGGACACCAGAAACAAAATTGTAGACCTGCACCAGGCTGGGAAGACTGAATCTGCAATAGGCAAGCAGCTTGGTGTGAACAAATCAACTGTGGGAGCAATAATTAAAAAATGGAAGACATACAAGACCACTGATAATCTCCCTCGATCTCGGGCTCCATGCAAGATCTCACCCCGTGGGGTCAAAATGATCACAAGAACGGTGAGCAAAAATCCCAGGACCACACAGGGGGACCTAGTGAATGACCTTTGTTTTTAACTTATATGTCTGGCCTATATACAAATCTTGTACCCTCTAAGTAAGTGCATTATTGCATAATGGCACTAATATGTGACTTTTGTATATTTCACAATATTTGCATAATTCTATGTACTATTTGGATGCAATGTTGTAGATTTATACACGGCAGATTTCTATCACTCTATCTCTGAAGAAGAGTTTACTGAAATGCGTTGGGTCATCCACATAGCTGCTGCTATGTAACATACAAGATCTGTTGTTATCAATAATATCATATGGAATATAGTGTTGAAATACATGTAATATGAATGCATATTAACATAGGGCCTGGTACTTTATGTCAGCATAAAAAAAATCTTTTATCATGTTTTAAGAAAATTTGTACAAAAAGGTTGGATGATTTGTACATTATCAGTTTGTGTGGATATTAGTTAATTTTTGTATGTGTCTTGAAAGACCCTCCTGATAATGCAGCAGATGTTCCATTTTTGAATGTGATTGCATTGGAGTGCCGAATCACCTTGTAGTACTGGCAAGGAGAGGAACAAATTGCATTGATTACCTTGGTGAGAGGGGTGATGGCATGACCAATTGAAAAGGCAAAAACACCAGGTTTAGGGAACCCTTGGTCAGAAGAAGTAGAGAGGAGGCTTGCGGAACCATGGATCACATATTCCTCAGCATTAAAAAAAAAATTACATTTTGAATTTCAGGTATAGCTAATTTTTTCACAGTTACATTGTTCCAGCTTGGACCAAAATAACTGTGCAAGTGCCATACCTAGTCGATCTCTGTGGAAGCTGGAAACTGTAGTAGGCACAGATATTATAGTGATTGCCACTGGCTTTTAGGTTCAGTGCCAAGCAGCTGCCCTGTTGCTTAGAGGTTGCATGCTTGGCATTCTCTCAATGAATGCAAAGCTTTCTCTGACTGGACAAGGTGGAGATCATGACATCACTGCCTTGCCTCTCCGCCTCAACCAGTCAGAGAACACTTTCCTTTCATTGTATAAAAATGTGTTAGCCCACTCCACTAGAAAAAACAAGCAACTCTTCATGAGCTCGGAAAGGGGGTACAATTTTAGTTATTTTTATCACTGCCCAGAGTTAGGGTTTAAAGTGGAAGTCCAGCTTATTCCAAACCAAGCTTAACTTTGCCACCGTTCTCTTTTTAAACCCCATTCTACCTACACTGTGAAAGAAAGATGTGTATATTTACCTATTCTGAGAGCGACCTGGTCTGGTCACATGATCAGCTGTCAGCAGCAGCTCAAATGGAGAGGAGGGACAGCCAAAAATGGATGCCCCATAATAAGCCTATGGGTGATGTCACCACCCAGGCTCTGCAGCCATTGTGGGCAATCTCTCCCCTCTCCTGAAACACACACATTTTCCTTTCACAGGGTAGATAGACAGGGGTTTAGAAGGGGGGTGGAAGCAGATTTAGACTAAGTTAGGAATAGGCTGGACTTCCACTTTAAGACCGATCACTTATGTTCAGCCTTAAATGTTCATTTTCTATAGAAAAATAACAATGTCACACCAATGTGATATGTGTTCTTGTGAACTGAACATTTTGTTGTGAAAAACAAATGTGAAATTAAAAAAAAAAAGCGCACGCGGCTTTGTGAATTGAAGCGAATGAATGCCTACACCATACAGTGCGACATGAATCCATCAGTCTGGGTTTATAATTGGGCAACACAGTGGCTTAGTGGTTAGCCCATCTGCCATAGGGTACTCATGTTTCCTTTACCATTCCAAACACATACTGATAGATTATTTGATTGCTGTCCAAAGTGGCCCATGTTTGAATATGAGATAGGGCCCTTGAGCAAAGCTCCTAAAGGACATTGGCTGAATGTACATTATGTAAAGCGCTGTGTAAATTGTCGGTGCCATATAAATAATTGTAATGAAAAATAATATTCATACCAGTGTTTTCCATATATCCAGTTTCCTCCATATGTCAGCAAGCAAAACCCCACCGTACTCTTTTTCCAGTGGTTGCGCAGTGTCTTATAGATACGAACCACTCTTGACATTTCTACGTTGAGACTGTACAAAGACAAACGATATACAAATTCAACTAATATTATGACCGCTACATTTAGAAGGTCAGCCCACCCAAAAGTTCTACTTCTGCATCTTCTAACCATCTCACAGTTTAATACACACCTCTGTCCAGTATGGAACGTTCCCACCAATATGTCAGGAAGATCTCACCGTTGGAGTATCAAGACATATAATAAGCTAGGGATAAGCAAGTTAAGTATTGAAGCACCACGCCGTAATATTCAAATACATGTTTTTTTCCAATGCCAAATTTTGTGCAGCCAACACGTTCTGGGGCATTACCTCTGCCCCTTTCATCAGGGCTTAGAAAGAATGAATCGGTGTACGTGGACTTAATAATCAACCTATAGTTGGATGCTATTAAACTAAGTTGAGAGACTGCTGTGCAAACTTAATTTATTAACATCCAATTATAGATACGTCCACATACACTGTTGCATTTTTTCCAAGGTTTGATGAAGGGGACAGAGGTACTGCCCCTGCAACATGGTTTCACAAACAATTTTTCATTGGAATAAAATTGTATTTGGACTTGATTATCACAGCGTGCCACTTCGATAACTAACTTGCTAATTTAATATTTATACTATTGCCTTAAAATGGAATGACAACATTATTATAAAAATAAACACATAAAAATATCTTCAGGACCTCCTATCCACCTTTCCAATCATATAAGCAGCTAGGAGCTGACTCAATAGTCTTCACCTGTAACTAAAATATCACTTTTGGGTGGACTGGTCATTTAAAGAGAGACACATCACAGAAAAGAAAGTCAATTTATCTTTAAAAATAACACCATAATATAATCTGTATAACCAGAAGCCACAACATTCGAATACTGGCAAAAAATATCTCATTACCTGCTTCTGTGATTGGCTGTCTGCCTTTCCCTAAGTCATCTGTAATCTTCATTTGTTACAACACAGTAATTAGACAAACAGAAGCTATTATAAAATATTTTAGAATGTCACAGTTGGGATCCAAGATTAATGCGGAGCTCCAGGCAGATATAAAAAACATAATTTAAAGTGCATGTAAAGCCAAAACTTTTGATTTAGTTTTAGATAGCATAGGAAAGGGTTAGAACGTCTGCCAGGTTTTTATTGCTGTATGTGTTCCTGCTGGGGAGATTAACCTTCTCCATTTGTCCTGTGAACAGTGGCGTTGCAATGGGGGTGCACACCGCACCTGGATAACACCCACCAGAGGGGTGAAACCAGGGCCAGGATAAGGGATGCCGATAGCTGCTGGAGGGAGGATTTTGCTCCCCCCTCCCTCCAGCTGTAGGACTGCATCTCTTCCACCTACCTCCTCTCGTGGTTTAAGGTTCTGGTGTAGGCGACTTGTTGTGTGGGTGGATTCTGGATGCGGCCAGCTTTGGTGATCCAGCCTGCCCCCCCAGTCTGAACTGCCCACCTCCCAGCCTACCTACCTGTCTGCCTGCACTCCCAGAAGAGGAAGATGAGACCTAAGCAGGAGCGAGTGTGTGCGGAGGTAAGCTCAGCTGGCTGTACTAGATCTCATATCTCCTGTTTCTTGTCCAGCGCCAGAGCACTAGGGGAATGGGACTGGAGCAGGCTGTATTTGAAGAGGGGGTTAACATTGCTGTTACCACCAATGCAGATGGGGGTGAGGTCAATGGCAGTGAAAGCTGAACCCACACCAATCACCGGCATTGATCTTCATGGCAGTGAAATTTTAACCCCCCCTTCTGCATTTGTGGCAATGTCAGTGAAAGTTAACCCCCTCCCCCACAATGGTGGTAATGGGAGGAGTTACATTTCAATGCCACTGACCACCAATGTCGGGGAGGGGGTTAATAATACTAACACCTGTGCTAGGGGTTATTAATGCGCCCACTGACATCGATGCTGGGGGTTATTAATTTGTCCACTGATACCTGTGTTGGGGGTTATTAATGCATTTACTGACATCAATGCTGGTAGTTATTATGGAGTCTACTGACATCAATACTGGTAATTATTATGGAGTCTACTGACATCAATGCCGGTAGTTATTATGAAGTCTACCGACATCAATGCTGAGGGTAATGCTTGTATCCGGGAAGGGGGGGGGGGGGCACAATTTGGAACCTTCAGCCTGGAAAACTGATTGACCTTGTCCCACCACTTCATGACACCATCAAGTAGGAAGTGATATCCAGCCACAATGGTGTCACTCCCCCCATCCGTGACAGCACATGGATTGGCGCACTGGCACAAACAGCATCATTTACAGGGGCTAGTTTGGGGTGCGCACTGTGACTGTGCCTGAAACTAGCCCATCCAGCATGTATTAAAGGTAGTTATTAAGAGTTGTCAAATGAATTATCATGTCACCCAATATTTGGTCTCCATTCAGTAGCCAAAAGAGGCATTCAAAAAAGGGGATTTGTGAAAAGAAATTCACAGAAAAAGCGGCTACATTATGAACAGAATGTGACACTCAGAAAAATTTCCAAAAATTATGCTTTATTACACATATATAAATATGACATATGGGCATTCGCCCTGGTTTACCATCACCTCAGTATGAGACAATACACACAGACCTAAAACCATATAAAATGACACCAAGACCGGTCTAAATGCATGTGCAACAGAAAAAATGACTACAAGAGTCTAATGTCCCTGTAGCACAGACACATAGGTGAACACTTCCCAAAAGAGGTGTATCCAAAAATTATACCATAGGCATACCATAATATTGAATATTATAAATAGAACAATACCATTATGGTGAATCCCAATCAGGGAATCCAAAAATTGTACTATGGATATAAATATCACATGTATGCAATGCAGCAAGCACAATATGCGTCAAAAAGAGAACAACAAGCCTCAGGCCTGTATGGAGGGAGACATGAATGTCAAATATGTGATGCAATACATTCCTGTGCCGGCACAAGTGGTTGGGGCCCATTCATCTGTAATATAAACAGCTGTATCCTAAAGCTCTTGAATGAAAATATGCCCCATTTATTCCCAGGGTGGAAGAAAAGATGCAAAAAGCAGCACTCTGCTTGAAATGGTATCTTCACCACTATATGTGGACTACACTCCACCTTTCGTAGGAAAAACAGGACACATCCCAAAAGATCTTCTGCCTGTTGAAATGTATGTGGTATATCCTGTATCCTATACAAAGCACCATGATGTCCCCATCCTGTAGTGAGACAAATAATATGTGGGAAGTCACTGACAGAGTTTACACTCAATAAGATATATAGGTCATATAGATCACAGAGGACCATATATCTAATGTCCTGTAACAGTCCACTCACCACCTGTGCTGTGGGTATTAGGAATGAAAGAGATGTCCTTCATGGGTACTGCCATATACGGCCACAGAGGCCAAGGAACCACCGCTGACATCCGCCGATATACCGCGGGTTCCAGCCCCTTCTTGGCGCTTGTGCTGCTCACACTTGCCTCATGGCATGTGAAGATGGCTTCCTCCTTATGGGTCAGCGTGCGTTCCACCTAATGCGCATGACCGGAAGTGACGTATCTGACGTATGACGTCAACGCGTTTCGCCGATGGGGGCGTATCTCACTCAGCTTCGTCAGGACCAATGAAACAACTGCATTTCAATTTCCTATTTATAGTGGGTAAAGACCCACCCATTTATGCAAAAAAAGCTAACCTGCAATTGTTTCCTAATGGAAGAAAAAAAGGGGGCTAAATACTTAGCACAGCTGCTGGTCTTTGTTGAATATAATTAAAAAGACAGACGGCTGGAGACACCAGAGAGGGGAGAGGCTTAGCAATTTTAACAATGCATATATTGATCAAAAGATCATGAATTAAATATACCAATCAATTAAAACTTTTATCACATTTTAACCAGAAGATGGCGATATAAATCAGAGAATCAACAATTCTATTCATTGAATCAGGTTTTTTAGGAGACAATATAAATTACCAATTACCAAAAGACACCACAAGATGGCAATATAACCTGAGAGTTCTCATAAGGGTCATTACAACAAAAATACCCCAATTCTCAGGCATCCATCCTATGGTGTGGTTATTATTCAAAGAGAGGAGGTACTAAGGGACAATTAACCAGACAATCAATCCTTTTACATTTTTTATATACCATAAGATCATCCATACCATACTTTGTTAATATTCCCAATATATATAGGTTTATTTTGGGGTTATTTAATCTAAAGTCCAACCCTTTATAAAGACAAAAAAATGCCGTAAATTGCCCACCGCATGGCGATAAACAGGTATATAGTCCTATAAACCTATTTTTCCAAAAACACTTGGAGATCACATTCCACATTTAACCCCTTGGGGTACAGTGTATCAAGTTTATATATCCAATGTTTCTCCTTTTTAAGCAGTTCTCTGTCAAAATCACCTCTCCTTTGTGGGAAGTGCAGTGCATAGAAACCTTTTACTTTTGTACCGTCCAGTTTACCTCCATGATATTTGGCGTAATGTTGGGCAAGATTACTGTCAGGGTCATTTGATCTAATATCTCTAAGATGTTCACCTATTCGTACTTTGAGTTGTCTTTTAGTCTTACCAACATACATCTTTTTACAGGGACAGGTTAAGATATATAATACTCTCACTGTGGAGCAGTTTATGAGACTCTGAATCTTATAGTGAGTGTTATTTCCTGAGTCATAAAAGGAATCCGTACGATCCACATATTTGCAGATTTGACATTTTCCACATTTAAACATCCCCTTGGTACGTGATTTTAACCATGTTGTTTGTTTTAATGGTTGATAATCTGAATGGATAAGGAGGTCACCAAGATTTGGTGCTCTTCTTGCTACCATCTGGGGGCGCTCACCTACAATCTTACTCAACCTAGGGCATTGAGTTAGAATCTTCCAATGTTTTTCTAATATCAATTTTACATCTTGCCATTGGGCTCCAAATTGGGTTATCATTCTAACAGGTTGATGATCACTCGGTTTAGCCTTTACATCCTTTTTAGGAG